CGTCCTGGAGCACTTCCGTTGTGTTTTGGAGTTTGCACGTGCTTTGTCTCTAGGGGCCACCGTAGATTTCCTCTAATTAAAGGAAATAACAGTGTGATCGACTGAGCTAATGCTAAAAAGCTAATAAACCTCTCTACACACACACACACACACACACCTTCAAAGTCAACATAAAGCCCAAATATATCACAACTTCACCAATACAACATAAAAATATCCAATATGATATATAATCACGCTCTACATACACATATATTTTACACATATGTATTTATTTGTATGTAAATATACAAACATTCCTGTTGTTAAATCATGAATGTGAACCTTTATTTTCATGTATTTTCTTTGTCCACAGCTCCGTCACAGATCATTACGACCACTGGATAAAGCTTCTGCAAATAACAGCTGCACGGTTCACCTGAGAGATACCTGCAAAAGCATTTTTTAAAGCTGCTGTAAAAAACATAAAATATATATTTAACAACAGTTATATCAGGCATGTTAATAACTTTAATAACAGCTGCATTATTTTGTTTAAATGATCATATCTACAGTGACAGGACTGTGTGAATGATTGTATTTTCTATCAGTAAATCTTCATTTCTTTTAGATTTTATATGTTTGTCTTTTGCATGTTTATTTTTTTATTTTACAAATCATATGACAGTTTTGAACATCTAACTGTTACCTGATAATATGAATCTGAAAATATCCAGTGAGTGTTTTTGAAAGAAAGTTGATTTCTCTACTGACTTTGTGAGTGAGCTGTTTATTTGGCCAAATACCAACATGAAACTGAACAGGAACATGCAAAACATACGAGAAATAATCCAAACATGAGCATGAACCCTAACCTGAACAGCTGCAACAAAACTCTGCACCCTGACGAGACTCGACGTGGAGAAACAGACGACCCGACACTGAACAGAGGACGACAAAGGACTTAAATACACAGAAGGGTAATGAGGGAAGTGGAAACACGTGGGGAGACACAGCTGACACAAATGATCAAGACGCCTCAGGGAAAAGTAAAACTAAACACACTGAACATGAGCCGTGTCCCAAAACCTCGGCTGCATCCTTCGGAGGACCCGCCTTTGCGCTCTACGTGGGCCGGGTCCTCCGAAGACCGAGAAGGCCGGAAGTGCGAGGCTGTGAAATGGGACGGTCTCGCCCCATCCCATAATTATCCCACATATCTCCTTTCTCTCACATCAAACAGAGCTTCAGTCCTTCAGCCACAGTGTAACAGGCAGCCGTGTCTGAGTGGGGGTGGGCACGTTATACGGCGTCCAGAGGACGGTCTCTGTATTCAACATCACCTCTGGCACGAATTTTAAATGCACACAGACATTGAGGGTTCTCAGGAGGGGACGTGCTGACGCCTGCTGTCTGGCAGGAAGCACCACGCCCTCTCATGTTTAAATGTGTGTACTGCAACCTGTGTGTCTCCACGTTGGGTGAGTGTTGAGTTTTTGTATATGTGTGCATGCGGGTGGGAATGCATGTTTGTGTCTGTGTGTTCGTCTATGTGTCAGATCGGGTCTTAGACTCCACCTCTCAGGCTCTCCCAGGTGTGGGGGCCTATCTCCCCCCACCACATTCCCACCCAGTGGTAATGCCAGGCTTGTAGCTGGTTAAGTGCTGAACTCCATGCCATACCTGTCATCAGTTGCTGTTGCTGAAGTGGTCTTCCTCTTCCTCTTCCTCTTGCCTCGGCCTCTCTGATCCCTTTTTTTCAGCTCAGATCTAGCTGCACTGTCACCGGATCTAAAAGCGGCGTCACGTTGCTCCAGCAGGACCTCTTTACTCATCCAGGGTTTCTGGTTGGAATACACCCGGAGACGTTTGTCCACAGTGACACTTTGTGTGCTCTTCGAGGTTCTGATGTTAAATACACAACTGTGACCATGATGACAGTAAACCTGCGAGGTATATAGGTGGCTCTGCAGTTCAGTCAGATGTTCCAAATTCAGGGAACAGTGGGCGTCTACAGTCTTTATGTTTTTGCATCAACTGTCTTTGATGTAGATGCATAAACCTCCTTTGTTCTTACCAACGTGGCTCTCATGACGGTGGACCGTGCTGCATGCTAACTCAATCGCTGAGTCCGGAGCTGATGGCTGCAGCCGAGCCTCCGTGCGTAGTATAATGCTACTGTTGGCTGCAGTCTCAGTTCATCTATTTAGTTGGTGATGGAGCTGACGTTGGAGAGCAAAATACTCAGAAGTGGTGGCTTAAGCGGTTGTTTCGTTGCTCGAGGGGCCGCCCTGCAGCCACGCTTTTCTGTCCTTTGTTTACTTCTCCTCTTGGATTTGCCACTGGGAAGAACCAACCACAGAGACCCTGGAGTTCTTATTATGTCCTCCGGAATGCTGTGGAGGTGGTGATAGTGCGACGTCATGTTGTTTGGAAAGTGTGATTCCAAACTCAGAATGTCCTGACGACTGTGAGTAGATTCCACTCGACATACAGTAGAAAATAAACACATACACTCATAAATATACACGTAGAACATATATCAACATATCATCAGCTTCATCCCTCTGTAGTTACTACAGTTCTGAAAACCTTACCTGTGCTTGAACAGAATATTTAGTGGATTTTAAAACATATTTTCTCTCTCTGTAAACTGTAGAGATGGTTGTGTGGAAACCCAGCATTTCTGAAACTCTCAGATCAGCCCGTGTGGTCAGACTGTAGCTGTGTTAGCGTCATGGTCCGGGTGAATGCCGGTGTTTACTACTATCTGCCACGACTCCTCTGACTCGTCTCTCAGGGGAGCCGCACCTGGAGCTGATTTCCCCGGCAGTATTTAAGGTCGGCTGGGACAACAACTCTCTGGACGATTGTCTGCTAACCAGTTTGTGTCCATGAATTGCTTACCTCACCGCCTACAGTTTACTTTCTACCTGGACGCTGGACAGCTGCTGAATTCTCCACTCTTAGTCTGGTACGGTCTTGTTTTATGGTGTCACCTACCTCAGGAGTGTCCCCTGTCATAGTAGCTCCGTTATTTCATGTGTTGATCATCACTCCCCTGTTCATAATGAGGCACCAATAGTGAATTCATACTGAACGATCTCTCCACGTACCTGCATTACTCCCTGGTGTATAGCCCCGCCCCCCTCATTAGTCTCTCGTAAGTAGATGCTGTTAATTCACCTTGTATATAGTCACTGTTTTACGTTCACTGTGTACAATCCCACATTCTTTATTATAACATATTTCATGCAGCGGCTGGTGTCTGAGTTTGATCTCTTCTGTGGGTCCACTCTGCCTCGGACGGCCTGTGTCGTGACAGTTGGGCCTCATGAAGCTCACAAACCGCTGTGGTTTGAGCTGAATGGTAAAGCTAGCTGTAGCATACATCAATGAACTCTTCTGGAACTTCACAGGGTGAGAAACAAATGATAGTGCGGTGGTTTCATCTACTCTGGTGTAAAAATAGTCGACACTTACAGACCACATTAGCAGCTGATCTCATGCAAGCACTCACATTTACACAGATCTCTTCACAGACAGGAGTCACAAAGAAAAGGAATATAAATTAAAAATTAGTGCAATTTGTTGCACACTTGGACAAATGACACTTCCAGCTGTGCATGAGTTTAGTCGTTTTTTTTACTTGCTCATTTGCTCTGCAACTGCAAATACAAAACACTTCAGTTTAGCATAGCTACACTCTGCGGCTGTCTGTGCACTAAAACACACAAACAGGACCACAAAGCTGCCTGTTTCAGTGCCTGCATGAGCGTCACCCATGAGCGTTATCATTGACCACAATATTCTAGCTGGATTACCAGTGAGCACAGTGTGTGTCAGTAATAAAGAACTGAATGCATAAAGCAACAACGCTAAGCACCAAACAAATAAAAAACTAAACTGTGGAGAGGGGCAGCATCTTGGCAATACATTCACCCGTTAAATGAGTCACAAATTTCATAATAAATAATTAAATAAATGTAACCATATTTTCTGGCATCTCCATCGTACCATCTTAGAAATCTCCAGTTGTCAAAATCTCAGTGTTTTATATATTTTACACACACCTGTTAAACCTCTTTAGTCTCGACCATCAAGAAATAAGAGCAAACAACAAAACCTGAATCTAGAAACAGGAAAAAGATGATTAATCTCATTTACAAACTCATTTGCACCACTAACTCCACCTTCAGCCCCCGCGTCTGCTTCAGAAAGGAAATAAATCATGTGCACCATATTTCAATGTGCTGGTTTTCTACTGGTCACTATTACTCCCTCCTTTCTTGTACTGCGGCTGTTTTGCTGCCACTTCTTAACAGAAGTAAACATTTTAAATCTTAACTTTTTTTCACTGCATTTTTAAAAACCTGTGTAGCAGATTATAATACTATAGCGAGCGTCTGTTCTCTGACCACAGAACCTCAGAAAAAGAAGGCGTGTTCACAGAGGCGCTGACTTCCTGTTCTCTGTTCAAACACAAACTGTGGTCACTGTGAGTTCAGACACTCAGCCTGTCAGGATGTGGGTGAACATCTACTGCTGCCTGTTAGCCTGCGCTCTGAGCTGTCCTGTCACAGCAGGTGGGAAACTTTGCATTAATGTCTGATATACTTTATAGTTCTCACACATGTGCATTTGTGTTGGTGTTTGTAGTTTCAGGGATTTCACAAGATTATAGAAAATGAGCTCAAAGTGTGAAGCAGACACGCGATCACAGGAAGTGATCGCGTGTCTGCGCGAGAGTTATGGTGTGAATGTAGCTCAAACTAACACTTCATGAAGACAAATTTCTAAATCCTTCATTTGTTTAACAAATTATTTTATTATTTTTTATTTTAGTTTTTATAATGAAATATCATCATCATATCCTGACTGATTATCTTTCTATCGTCCTTTCAGATTTCTGTTTTCTTTGTAACTTTTTCCACACAGACATTTTATTTGCTCATTTATTTTATTTGTTTTGCAGGTTTAACCCGTAAAGTAGTTACAGAGGGGACGCCGCTCACTGTGCGCTGTCCTCACTCTGTGGAGGGTGGAGTGAGATGGAGCAGAGAGAGTGGAGGAAGCAGAGCTGACATACTTACAGCTGATGAAGAAAGAATTATAAAATACATCAATGATCCACAGAGACGATACAGTTCACTAGCTGACGGGACTCTGATCATCCTCAGAGCTGCTCCCTCAGACTCTGGCAGATACTTCTGTAATAGTTACCTGGCTGAGGAGCTGACAGTGATCCCATCAGGTAACATCAGACTTTATCACCTTCCTGTTTAAAATCATGCATCTCTGCTGAAAATGTGATTTTTAGTCTTAAATGAGACCAGTGTGGTTGTTAGCACTGTGGCTAACCGTGGGGTCAGATCCACGGGCCGTCTGTG